GAGGAGGAAAACAGTTACTCAAATTCTCAATGTGCTAGGAGATCAAATGACTGTAACCAGATCAAATGACTTTCAAACTTTAATGCAATGCTTCTTGAAACATCAAAACTCTATGACCAAAGAAATTAAGGAAATGAAGAGTCAAGTACAAAGGCTAGAATCCATTCTGATATTCATAGCATCTTTCTGTTTCACTTGAAACATGCTCTGATATTATGAGGCATATTCTGTGATCTGAGCACATCAGATGGGAAGAGTTATAACTGCCAATAAGTGTGATTGTTATCATGTAATCATCTACCTTAATGTCAATACATTACATAATAGGCATTGTATTTAACAGCAGGTATAACAACAGGCACAGTTACACAAGTTTTATGACCCCAATTAGATGAAATATGAGCTGGGATGAAAGATCTCAAAAATCCTCAATTTTGGGCTCTCCTGGATCGCCAAATCAAGCTCATTATATCATGACATCTCAGGGCTGAGAAGATTTGAGATGACATGGTTTTATCATGATGGCTAGAATCTGTTATCGTGAAAGGTCAAAAACAAGTTATGACAAAATTAGTTGACCCAGAGAAAACAAACCTACCGGTGAAAACAAGCCAATGAAAACACAGGAGAAATGAATGACAACAAAAACACGCCTACCAGTGACAAAAAAGTCAATGGAAAAACAAGTGAACCAGATAAGAACATTAAACAACCAGAAGATCCAAAACCAACAGAATACATATTTACTACGCAGAGTAGATTTCTGCTATGTGGAAGAAGTATCAGAAGACATTAGTGTTAATCTTAACAGGCATTTCTTTATGACAGAAGGCATGGAGAGTCCAATTGAGGGTATATTCTTTATGACCTTCATCTGATAATTGTATCACCTTGCAACAGGAAGAATTTGATTCCCTACAAGCCAGCTCAGTGAGAATAGCCTTGGCCTTTTGGATTAAGGAAATGCTCATGTGATGAGAATTTATCTTTAATAATAGAAATACTTTTAAAATCAGATAACTAAACCAAATAGCTTTCTGAAGCTGAAGGTGAAGGTGCTGAAGATGAAGGTGTTGCCAAGAGCAAAGATGAGTTTGGCTTCTCCACCAATACAGTATGTACCATGTCATTCAGATCAATTACGACCATGTTCTTTCATTGTCCCAACTTATATTTGAAACATTTTCACTATGAACATGATGGGGTTTGGGGTCTTTTAGTATTATTATGGTTACTTTTGCATATCTATTAATTGATCATTCAACAATCTAGTTACCATATTAGTTTTAAGTATGCATCAGGCCTGTACCCAGATGGCCGCGTGGTTCAAGTGACACTTCCCCTTGATAAAACATTTTCCAAAGTCATTCAGATCTTGAAGATGTTTTTCATTTACACTTACTTTTCTTCAATGAATCCCCCATAGAAAAATTAAACAAACAATCCCTTGCATGCAAAAGTTGGTTGGGGGCTCCATTGTCTACTTGTTAGGGACTTAGTTAAAAAGAATAGGTCATTCTATATTTCAGGACACAGTCTCAAGAAGAATTAGACAAAGACGTAACACGTTAGTAAAAACAACACAGAGATATCACGAGCATTTTCACTCGAAAAACTTTTTATCACTATGGATAGATAACAATGGGGTAGTTAATTACCTTGGTTCAAAACCGTTTATTGAGTGTTTGGTGGCCTCAAAACCACTTATAGAAAAAAAACCTAGCCAGTGCTCAAGATCTTAGTGGCCTGGCTCAACCAGAGAAGAGGGTAAAACTCACTACATCAGGAATGTCATCATTAAAAAAAACCAATAGAGCAAATATGCCAACCCCACCCCAGCGAAAAGCCAGGCGCCTAGTAGATGATTCCCCAATAACATCTAGGACAGAGTTGCCGATTTTTTCCAACCCTTCCAAGACATCCAAACAACTTTTTACAAATTAACATTAAAAGGAAACACTAAAGTTAAAAACTACAACGTGTGTATGAGTACCTATCATCCATTTTAGTTTGTTGAATTATCAATTAAGTAGTCAAAATGGTTTTTATTCTAGTTTCTAACTCTATTTCCTACAAAATTAAAATACTGTCTTTGACATAAGATTTCATCAGATTCCCTAAAAAGTAAAACAATGATGAATATCTACACATTCACAGAATATTACAGATGTGATGTTAACAAATTAATGTATAATGTATCAGTTCTCAATAATTGCAAATCTTAAATCTAATACTGAGAATGAATCGCTGTTTACAAAATGGAAATATATACATGTACATTATATGATACATCAGGTCACTTTTGAAATATATACTGTATAATAGGAGGATTTACTAAGCAATCACTTTATACATGTTATAGTGTACATAAAAAAAATAAAAACATAAATGAAAACTAGATTTTATTTTGAGTTGTATACGTTCATTAGGGATATAGTTTGCCATCTTCACTTCAAGGCAGGGCGCTTACAAGTATGTCCTCAATTAATTGTTGAGATCGCAATACCAAATAAAATGATATGCCTACATGTATCTGTATATGAGGGATATAGCCTGGCAATATTATATTATCCAAACCATCCAGATTTCAGCATACAAGGCCAAATATTAATATTACTAGATTTTCACAGTTTAAACATCATACGCTAAGGTCACTGTTACTTCATGTACTTGGTATATACTTGAATCTGTACTAAGTTGGCAAATGCTATTTAATATTACCACCTTTTGTTTGGGGCATAACGTTGTGCCAAGAGTGTATGTCTACTTTGCCGAGCAATATTAATCCTACAAACGGTCAGCAAGTTGGCATAATATTATGCCAAACTTGAATGATGACTGTACACGGCATCTCTTAAACCAAACAAGAACTAAAAACAGGTATAGGAGTTGCGGCATAAGTCTGCACCAAATCGATGTCTGGCATAAAGTCCCACCTGATCCCTGACTGTTGGATAGGTAGACCAGCTCAACCTTTTAAGCGATAAAGGACAATTATCCTAATAACATTTGGAGAATATTTCTTTGAAAAGTGCACCTTCACAACCTTTCACAAAGGACTATCAGATTCAACCATCAGTTATTGTGGACACAAGAATAAAATTTCCACTTGAAGAATATTGAAGTTAATTTCCAAATGAATAAATAGAAAAAAATAAAATAAAAAATTGACTTAAATGCCAAAAAATCACTTTGTAAGATTAAATGTGATTTAACAAGTTTGTTAAATCTGGTTTATATCACAGAGAACAATGTTTGTCCTAGCATCTCAATTAAAAGTCTGTTGACAGATCTAATAAGCCACGACACAAACTTATCTTAACGCTATACCGCCTGTCCTGTGTAAGTTTGGTTTACACAGTCTTAACTTTTGCATCTTGGGGAGGTCGGACGATTATATTAAATTCTGTAAAATGCTTACATCAATACTTTAAAATTATTCGTACACTATATCTGGATTATCTAATCACTATTGTAGTATAATCATACTGTAATATTGAACGTAAAACCATTAAGAATTGAAGTGGAAAATCGAGGAGTTGGGTGCCGAAGTGTTTCCAAAGAATGCCAGGAAAAAGATGTACTGTATGTCGAATACTTCGAGCGTGCAGAGAGAATCAACAATGAACTTGATGTGGATTATGATAATACCGAAAATGAGAGTGAATCTGGAAACGATGGAGTAAAATATAATGGTTACTTGTTTCTAAGTTGTTTCTTTTGTACACAATTACACAAGCTCTTTATTGATAGATAGCCGTCTCCCCATGCCCAAAAAAGTTTTGTCAATATGTTTTATTTTTCAGATGAAAATTAACAACTATTATCTTGGAAATATGAAAAATGAAGTTTTTGTTAACTGGAACAATATAGGATATAGAATTATAATTTTGATTAGTAGAGATCTAGAGTGCTTCAATAATTGCTCGGAAATACTGGAAATCTCCATTCTCTACATCACTGACTTGAACTACAGAGGACAAGACTAGTAAACACTTAAACCTGACAAGGGGCATACCTAGTCTATCCTTAAACCTTGACAGGGGATAAATTGTCCTTGAATATGAAACTGAGACGACATAGCTTTCATGTTTATAAGTGAGGATTTGAAACTTTGAGACAATGGATGGATAACCCAATGCTAGACCTAGTCTATATCATTGTAGTATACCATACTATAAGACTCTTGAGGAAAATGAAACATAACTGCACACTGTAAGTCTGTAGTCCGATATTGCACTCTAAAAAAATTACTTAACAACTTATTTAAGTATTATTATTTTTTACTTAGTAATTATAAGTTATATAGATGACTTGGGTTCAGTAATCATAATACCATCTTTGTAATTAAATTACTTATATATGCAGTTTATTTCCATATGAAAGTAATAATACTATTAGGTAATTTCTTTACATGTGAAACATCATGCTATAATAATTGCAATACTAGCAAAGTAAATGAATTACTTAGTTTAATTACATTTAAAATGAATAATATTACTTAGTATTCTTTTTTTATGTGAATTACTAAATTGAAATATTATAATACTTGCAGAATAAATCAATTACTTGGCGTAATTACTTTTAAATGGAATTATATTACCTGGCATTTGTAAAATTAAGTAGCCACCAAATGTTCAAAATGGCAAATTTGCAAAAACTAAGAAGCACCAAATTATGTAGAAGTACAGAACAGGGGTCTCGATAAGTTGAAAAAGTTATGTGGCTAATGTTTTCTCTGTATGGAAGTATTTTATTGAGGACAAACCTAGAGGTATCGCAGAATGTGAGCTTCATCAAAAGCAGTGTGCCCATTCTTCGTCAACTAAAACATTACGCTATCACTTGAAAACTTGCCATGCCGAGGTTCTCGGAGATGATAGAGATGACTTCCACACGACTCCAGTTTCAAATCATATCATAACAGAATTCTGCAAACCTTGTCTTTCATCAGCGGCAAAGGCTGAAACGATCACTCAAAAAATTCTAGACGTTATGGTCCATGATCTTAGGCCATCTATTGTAGAAGATTATGATTTTAAATGCCTTAATAAAGAATATTTGGAGCTAGATTACAAGATGCCTGTAAGATCAACATTTATTCACTGTTTGCAGGATTGGTACTCCTTACTAAAAACAATGGCGATGGACTTGTTGGAAAAACCAACACATCTGGCCTTGACGAACGACTTTTGGACGAGTCTGGCTCAAGATTCCTTCATGACTTCATGGAGTGGACTTTTCTATCAGGTACTTATTTATTATTTAAATCTTAAGAAAAGTGGGAAATGGAAAAAATTCATTGTCGAAAAAACTGCTGTTCTTTTTTGCATTTACCCCCTCGAATGAGAGAACCATCTTATTCATGACCATGTATCCACGATGTTATATTGATTTGATATAATAAATTATTGATGTGGGTGTCGATGAATATCAATAAGATCAATGCGATCAGGTGTTTTTGGATTTTATAATTAATATAGTTAATTTCGTTAATATCGCACTGAAGTGATATTGGGAGTTCAGAGAATTGTCAGAATAGCCTCGACTCAGAATAGAATCGCAGCCATATTGGTTCATGGTATAAATGATATGAAATATCTTACGATTTGTTTTGTTAAAAGCTTCTGTTTTATCTAGGAGTTATTACAACTTGTAACTCCTGAAACAAGCACCTCATCCGAACATATTTTTAGCATGACTGGCAATATTGTACCCAAAAAGAGTAAAACAAAATCTAGAAAATTGACAGCACTAGAATTGAGGGGCATCTCAAAATATGGGTGTTGTTTGTTTCAAGAAAGTCCTTGTCAGAGGACAAATTGTTCATGTATTGCAGAAAAGCATTGAAATACTCACTCACTCATTATTCATGGATTTGGATTCATTGCTGTAGTACTTTTTAGTTGATTAGTTCAACAAATGTTTTACAAACAAGTGGCAGAAAAGAGGGAGTCCAGAACCAGAGTGCAAATTGCCAAATATTACTTTTTATTTTTTCTAACAATCATTATTATGATGACACTTTCAAAACTACAGATGAGGGGATCTGGTCAACTTTCATACTGCATGGTTACAGTCTGGTAAACAAAAATGCTTGTTAAACTGATTTAGTGAAATAGTGAATAGTCATTTAGTTTTGACTTTATTTCATTGTATGCATTGATTTTTGAATTTTTTTTTCCAGGCCCAAGTGAACCAACATTGCATTACCCACAATCCCTTTGTCACGAAATATTTTATTCAAGTTGAAGCATCAGTTAAGTCTGACAATCCAGAATGGTTTACCTGCTAAAAGGCATTGGATGTTTTGGTAATGTGAAATACTATTTAAATATGTACTACACACTCCTTGTATTTTTCACGTGCAATTCAATTTCCTGAATATCATGTCGAGTTGAGATAATTACTATACATTATTAAACTTTTGTTTGTATGGAGTGATATTTTAACAGTTCAGGGACCTAGGGAAATTTAAATTGATAGAGCTTTAAGATTCAGAGAATAATGAACTTGAGAAATGTTATAGTGACAAAATCGTGATTTCTTAATATTTTTACCATATATAATACATCTTATAGACATGGAAAATGAAATACTACAATTAACTAATATTTTGCTAAATCTTTTGCAATTGCTTATTTCACTTAACCTTTAGCAGACCAACGGCGACCGCGCCCGCCCATTCAAAATTACCACCAGAATCCACCGGCGGATCCGGACGACACAAATCTAACTTTTGAAACATTGAGCCAATCAGATTAGACAGTATTTAAACTACATCCGGGTATTTGTAGTTGAAGGTCCCTGAAAAAAATTGGAAATATTTTTGAATTTTCGTAACAAAATCGATGTTTGAAGTCACTATATTGACAAGTTTTGTATACAATGGCAACGGGAAATGATGGGGGTGAAGTTTTTGCCGACTACGATAGTGACTTTGACTTTCTAGGCTTATAGAACAGGAATTACACCAACAGAATTTCAATTTCGATCCCGAGAACGATGATTTGGATTTAGAAAATTGAGATAATTTTGATAGTGACTCAGATAGTGATGATGATGAGCCCCTTGAAGCGTTGGGTGGTGCCATTTATCAGTTATGCATGTGCATTTTGTAGATGCCAAACATGTATCCACACCTGTAGAACGTCCCATTTCCTCCGAAATGTGCACGCAGCGATTCATATTAACTATTAACTAGCCCTGCCTATTTACATTATACCAAATGAGACAAAACTATCACATTTGAAGTTGTCATTTACCGATTAAAATGTATTATAATTTCCTACTAAGGACTGAGTTTTATTAATATAACAAGCAAGAATATCTGTATCAAATATGGGCAGCTGAGGCACCCAAGAACATAGCTAAAATCAATCACATAATAAGCGACGTGAAAAAGTTCATCTATACGTAAAGCCTGTAATTTTCACTATTCCCTTTAGAAAGTAGACTAATCTTACGTCATTTTTCTGCGCACGCATTGAAGATCACGTGCATGCTTTGTTTAATACGCGTCTGTAAATTTCACCAATGTTATCACAAATGCAAAATGTTCACAACATCATGAAATGTTTCCACAAGTAAGGATTGTCATTCAAATGCATCTATGAAATCAGCATTCGATACTTACAACATTATGAATAGTCAATATATAAATAAATATAGGCTACTGCAAGCGACATGTACTTAATTTTCTACATGTAAAACCTGTAATCATCACGCTGACTCACAGAAAAAACCAAATCTCACATCATTTTTCTGCGCGTTCACATTCAAAGTTTTCTTAAATACTGTAACTTAACCTTTCTATTATGTATAATATATTCTGCTACTTATTCATAACAAAAAGAAAATAATAATATTCTACTTTTTGTTTATACTAAAATGAACAATTTATTCAAAGAGTAAATACATAAAAATTTGAAAAATATCTATATTGCTAACTATATAAATATTCCCTAAGTCAATTACACAAAGGTTGGGGACTCTAATTAGCACTATGTGTTGTATTCGTTATTCATAATAACACAAAAAAACATATTTTCACATTTTATTTTCAGACATTTTCAAAAAGGCAGACTCAGTTTATAAAACAAGAATGCATACAAACGGGATACAGTAAATCTGACAGTTGTCTAAAAAGGATCCTTAAAAAGGGACAAGAAGAGAACATCTTTGAAAAGAACAAAGTTACTCTTAAGCAAATATTAAATAAGGTTCATAACCTTAAGAAGGTAAACTATAGATTAAAAAAGTAAACTATAGATTTAAACAGTTTGCATTAGATCTATTAAGTTTATTAATTTTTGATTTTTATCTTTTCATAGTATAAGCTGTTCCAGAAGAATGCCGCAGTCACTATTTTCTCAACATATGTATGGCCGATTGTTAAAATAACCACTCAATATTGAAGAGCACATTTTTGCTGACTACTAGTTTCTTGGAGACCCCTTAGTTCAGTCTGTAAGCGTATCCATTTTGAACTAGCCATATTGTTAATTCTTTTTCAGAACGCCGCTATCTAACAGCAGCACTATCTCCAGCAAGATCGTTAAGATCAGTGAAATATTGAGTAATACATGATGAGCCAAACTTATAAACAATTTGGCTGAAAACGGATGATACCCTGATTCTACTGAATATACTCTACACTCTGAGTTCTGAGTAAACTTTGTACACAGCAAGCCTGTAGTGGTAGATTTAGTTGTTGTTTATCAAATTACCACCAGTAGCGCTAGCATAGCTCAGCATGTACATTTAACTCTCAGTAGGCATTCGCTGTAATTAATACCTACACACAAGTCAATCAACCTTAAAGTGCCCCATTACCCTATCAGATTAAAATGTTAGTGGAAGAGATGTATGAAATATGTTAAGATATGTGTTGTTTTGCTTGAAAGAGGATTGATGCAGTCTTTGAATAATAAGTGTATGACTGATTAATATGGGAATATAGTACTAAACTATTCATGCTCTACAGCTTCAATTAAAATATACTCACATCAGAAGCAGAGTAGTGGTGTCATACTTTAATCTTAGAAGGGTTGCGCTTTTTTATTATTGGATTTGAAGTTATCAATTCGGGTTGGCAGGTTACCAGGTGCTCTGTCACAATAGATGTTAATTTATTTAGGGGGTGACGTATTCCATTCATTTTACGGTCCAAGTCATTGAATATCTTATGGACACTTTCAATTCCCTGTTCACCTTGAAGACCCATCCCACAGTTATATCTTTCTATCCATTCCGATATGTGATCTTCAAGGAGATGTTGTTTCAAGGTGATATTTGTCCTTTTAAAGTAGTGTCTATATGCTTCCATGTAGCTGTCAATCTTTGCTTGAATCATTGGTACTTGCTCAGCCTCGATTTTTTTGTCGTGAGAAACTGCGTTGTGAACAATTGAAAGTTCTTTATTTACATCCTTAAAAATATTACTAATGCGATGTGCTGCTTTTACTAATTTGTTTTCAATTTTTAGTCCTTTTGAAATTGACGTTGTAGCCTGAACAACTGCATCACAAAGATCATTGTACACCTCTGGCTTTAAATACTTGTGGCAGTGGTTGCCAACAAAAGATTTTCCATGGTATGGTGCCCTTTGTATGTTATGCTTTTTTAGAACCTGGTCAAGTGTGGCAGCTACAGTTCCAGATTCTAAGTGAAGTTGGTTTTTTGTTTCTCTGTCTTCGATTTCTTTTTTAATCTTTTCCCGTTTTTGTTCATTTGGAATACTTTCAAGTTCTTTTTTCAGGTTGGAAATTTTCTCAAGTTGAGTAATATATTTCCCATAAGGCGTATCTCGCTTGCTTTCACTCAATGATTCATCGCTGGCAATTTGGTGTGCAATTCTCAGATCAATTTTGTTGCAAAGTGACAATAAGAGATCATGGTGTTTTTTCACAAGTCCCAATAATATATGCAAGTAAGGGGGACATACATGATCAATTTCAATGGGAATCAAAGATGGGTTGATAGCGTTTTGAAAGTATTTGGCATTTGATAATTTTGCATTGCCCTTTTCAAGAAAGTCTTTGTGTGCTTTTTTAAGCGATTTAAGAGTTCTTTCAGGTAGCTTTGACCTTGATGACTTTGGTGTGTTCATGTCAGATGAGCGAATTTCACAATATATACAGGGAAATGTTCCATTTGCTCCTGATATCCCAAGTGTCTTTGACAGATACTCATAGTCACCACAGCCAAACAGGTTCACTCTCTTTCCATTCCACACCATATTTTTTAACTTCTCAATCTGTGGAGAGTATCTTTTCAACAACATTTCCATATTTTCCCTACTGTCTTTTGCACAGAATGCGGCAAAAACTAGAGTGTTCTTTGGGGCATTTGGATTCCTTGTGTTCAATATTTGGAAACATATTTTAAAAGACCCACCCCCGTGATCTGCTCCAATTTTTATCCAAATCTCATCATTGGGAATAACATGAGATTGCTCTATCATATTGAATTTTTCCATTTTATCGAGGTGTGATTTTACATGTACTTCCAAATTGTTAATATACACCATAGGCAGTTTCTTGTATACCTTTCCATTTTTACTCTCGGGGGAAATATTGTCTTTTTTGGTAAACAATTTCAGCTTTTGTTTTAGATTAATATCATTGAGTAAATTTTTCCGATATTCCCTCTGTTTATTTCTGCTCTCTATTGTTATGTTTTCCCGCAAATGCCTCGTTATAACATCCATTTGGCCCCATGACAACCTGGCATCAGACTTCATTGCGAGGGCTTGTTTTCTGGTTACCCTTGCTGCTTTTATTTTTGTCAAATGTTCCAGCTGATTCCTGTTCTTTTTCTTTCTATATGCTATTCGCCACTCTTTTGCTATCTGCTGATTGATGGAATTATCATTTTTTCCCCCTGTTGCTCTCCTGAACTTATTTATTTGTTTTGCTCTGCGCTTTTTAAGAGGTGAAGATGCTTTTTCACTCTGGACTTGGACCTTTTCTACTTTCATCAAGATCAAAGGCTGGAACATTAATTTGAATTACTTGATGATTTCATGGTATATTTAAGATAACACTTAATGATATGTTGAAGATACTTGAATTTTATGGTGATTATCACATGATAAGAGGTTCTTTATGATAGCTTCTTAATGATTTGACATCTAGCTCTTGATTAGACAAGTTATACTAGATTGCACTTGATTCAATAGACATTTGACAAAACTTAATACCCAAAAAATGCAGTGAACACGCCTTTATCCCCCCCCCATTACTTGCACATCTTGCATTTAATAAATTAAACCAAATAAATACTCACTTTTCCACCCGTTTTGCAGATTAATGTATCCTTATCTGTTGAATGTTTCAACTTCCTTCTGACTAGCTGTGTCAATAATTTATTTTCTAAAATACTTAAAGGTGCAGCTAACGGTTTTTGTAATAATTCTTTGATAGTAGATTCACGGCCACGGCCAGGTGTCATTGATGTAGATGCGGATGATACATCTTTAATGCATACCTTTTTAGGCGTACTCGTGCATTGAAAACTTATATCATTTGTGTCAATGTCACTGATGTTTAAACTTTTATCCATGTCTTTATAGCTACTCTCAAATGTTCTTTTTCTTGCAATAGCACTGTGAGAGTTCTTAGAATTTGACTTTTCACAAATTGTAGAGGAGTTCCCATCAAAGGCATTTGTCCACAGGTTATTGATTTTGTTATAGAGATCCATTGTGTTTTTATCTATTTTTGCTTTCTTATTCTTCAGTCTATTATAACATGATTGACAAATCTTCTTTGGGTGAAGATCCGGATTGTCCATATCCAAGTTTATTTCTGGGCATATATTTAATAATTCCTTTTGAATTGACACACATGGTTGAGGTTTGTATTTTTTCCTAAAAACTGAATTTTTCTCACCACACAATCTACATAAACTATCCAATACTTTTTTGTGATCTTCTGTGACATGCATTTTTGCTTTGTGTTGATAGCAGTGTTGAACATGTGTAAAGTGAATTCTCATGTATTGGAATAGTATATAGACCTTTGGGGGAGGGGATGTTTAGATAAACATTTCTCAAAACCTTGCGCTTCAAATGCTTTCAAATTTTTTTCATCTCATAGGAGATATAACATACTAAAAGAAGGTTTAAATTTTAGTTCATTTGAAACGCACACTCAATGTATTATTCAGGTTTAAAGTTAATGTACATTAAGATAATCACAAGAATTTCCAGAAACAAGTTGGTAAGGATCAGATGGTTCTAATGAGGGTTAATCTAATTCCCATCCAAGAAATGAGTCAAGGGTGTTAAGTAGGGGATCATTATCAATGTTTTCATTTCAAATTTTTTATTTATAATACCTTCCAAGGGACTTAATTAAACATTTGAAGAATTAGTTGGTTAATTGGTTACTTCTGGATTGCCATTGAAAAATCCAAATTGAGGCTACTGAACCCAGAGCGAGGCTATTGAATATTAATTAGGTATATTGGGTTTCAAGTGCCTACTGAACTAAATGCTATGCCTAGAGCTCTACAGGCTTGCTGTGTGTACACTCTTAGTTCTTATTCTCATGTGACGGACTTGGGTCCTTATATGTAATATTTTCAAGTCTTCTATCTCTCATTCATATTTTATTAACAGTATTGTACCATTGTCAACCAATCACCATTGTGTATTTAGTTCCAGTTCTTATTCTTACAGAGGCCGGTGGCTTTTAGTCAGTGGCACACTTATATTAATATTGTACATCCAATCATATATGTTTAATTTGTAATGCTTAATTGCAATGGGCACCACCGTCAGTCTTTAGGTCATAAATAATATTTTGACATGCTAGCCACGTATCATTGACCAATGGACAAGTCTGATGTTTCTGTTTTTGGGATAATCCCTGCCCCTTACTTTGTCTCTGGGGGAGTATATAAGTGCCCCCACCCTCAGAAACATCAGGTTTTTGCGCCCGCCGGTTTTCGCGTTCGGTCTCTTCCTCAGTAGGATAGAATTCAAGCAATATGTCTGGATATATAAACACCTCGTGACATGGAAGCTTGGGTGAGTTGATAGTTACAAACAACACTACTGACCAGGTTCGCCTATTTCATTTATTCTTATATACCTTTTTAAAGCTTGACACGTTTTACTTTAGATTTAAACTTCCAAATTATTATATATTTTCTGGATAAGGCGTTTCCTTATTGAGTATTTGTTGTAGTATTGATTGATTGTTTAGTTGCTTGACTCATTTGATTGATTGTTCTTTAATGGTACTGATTCATTGTTATATTCTCACACTACATCGGACGGTCATAAATAGCGTAATAGGTAAAAATATAATGACTGATATTGTTTGATTGTAATTGTAAGTTTGTGAACACATCTCTGTATGAATAGTTTTAGTATGCATTAAAAGACTTTGATTTATAGAAACATTTATATTTATTTTATCTTTTTATTCATTATATTAAATTCAAACTCCCTTATGTAATAACTTGGTTGTGTTCAGCGCAGTTCCGTTTTCGTTTTCGACTAAAACTAGGGTAGTCGATT